GACATTTCCTTCCCCTAGTGTTCAGCTCTAAATCAAACTGAAAGGAAGGGTGCAAGAGATTGTGTAAGCAGCTGGAGAGCTGAAAGCATCTCACTGAACTAGTAGCTACAGTTCTGTGCTTCTATCCCAAATGCTTGGTGTTTGGGTCCTGGCAGACAGGCTTGGGAAAGTGCTGTGAGTGAGGATGGGAAGATACATGCCACATCTCTGTGCAGGAGGTTGCCTTCAAAGCCGTATTGCCATGTTATAGTTCTGCAAATAAATACCTACACTCTGCAGGGTTTTTCCAAGTATACCATTTAATAGTAACTGCTTCATAGGAGACCAGGAGTCTAGCCACTTTATGTGTGAGGTCAAAGTTGCAACAGCTGAGCTACACTTCAGTGCTACTGTTTATCATTATCTTAGTACAGTTCACATAATAAGGGGAGTTAATTTTCTTTGGTATGTAGCTATAACTTGAACTCATACCGTGTGCTCCCTGAGAAGTAATCTGCGTCATACACCAAGAGCCAGCAGCTACCACCAGCCCCAACCCTTCATCAGTATACCTCGACAGCAGGCTTTCTTTTTTTTCTGTTTCTTTACCCTTCACTTCCTTCTTCCTTTCCCTTCCCTACACTCCAAGCCCTCAGTGCACTTGACTATGCAGGTGACATTATTTTGACCAGTCTGTGGGTTCTGAAGGAGAGTGCCTGACAAGATCCCTGTCTTTGGTTAATGCAGCTCTGAGAATGAAATCTTACTGATCTGGAAAACCAGGTGTGCGCTCTGTGAAGCAATACCATATTCTTAGTCTTTCTCTTCCGGCAGAAAAGGGGTTTCACCCCTTCCAATACAGAATATTTGTCTAGTTTTTTAGGTTTTTTTGGTTTGGTTTTCTTTTTTTAATGACATGGTACCTTAGGAATTTTATTTGCATCAGTTGGAATCACTTATATGCTATTCTTGTCTGATTTTCCTTGTTATACAATAGAATTTTTTTCCCCCCTCTCTTTCTTTTAAGTGGGATCCTCAAAAAGAGAAGGTGTTCCAGCACATGTCAATCTGTCTGCATCATCAATGCTAATGATTGCAATGCAGTACACATCAAACCCGGGTATGTGTAAACATGCAGCATGGTATCATTGTCTCTAAAACTGAGTCATGAAGTACTGTCCAACGCGATCAGAAAAATTCAGATTATGGGAAAAATCTGTTTCGCCTTCCAACACAGGATGAAATATAACTGATTTTAGTCAAAAATGGAATTTCTGAGAATCATGCTTGGAGTAATCATTATGTAGATAAGAGATCTCATTGTGATGAAGAAATAAGATTTGGCCCAGGATTGGAGACTGATCCACTCTTGTTGGACATCAGAAAATAGTGTTGATACATAACATCAGTGTTGGAGAGAAATCACCATTAACTTTGACCATAGAAATTCATACTAACAGTGTGTCTTATACTGTGATTCATATCCCACCAAGTTCACAACTGGTGCTATTTTTCAAAGAAGGCTGGTAATGCTGGCTGCAGGCTCAACAGTGAATTTAAATGTAAGTGCCTAAACACAAGGCCTTCCTCTCTCGCTCTGGTGCAGTCCCTGTTAAATCGGTGGGGTCACATAACCAAATTGAAACAAAATTTAACCTGCGGAGGAGGTTACATTGATGGGAGTCAACTATCTCCTGTTTTGGGTAGATGATGTATGTGGGGAGGCCCCCCACACTGCAGTATGCGCTTGAGAAGTGTCATCGCTGCGGTAAATAAAAGCAGCACACCATATTTAAAACCTACTTGCACAAGTTAATTTTCCTTAATGAAATGTTCTGGTTTTGTTTGTGAATTCTGTGTTCCAGCCATTGGAGGAAACTGTTGCCCTGAGGTTTTTGGGAAGTCAGATATGTAAAGTAGTTCATTTGGCTCTCATGTTTGATGCACAGTGGCTCCTATAGCCTTTGGTATACATGGGAATGAGGTATTGTGGTATGTGACTTCCATTACTGCCTCGAGATGAGCAAGATACCCATTTACAGCTTTTCATTGTGCCAGAGGAACAAAGTTTGAGTGAATTGGAAAGTATTCTTAAACTAGATGTGTTTGAAAAAGATCTCGATTGCTGTGCAAAAAGCTGTGCACTCATAATGCTCATTTTCTTACTGCATTCCATGACAAAAACAAGTTACTAATATTTAATTTCTTAACTTTTGTGATGATTCTCGGGGCAGTAATTCTTCAGCAAACCCTTTGAAATAGAAAGTGATGAAATGAGGTATAGAATTTTGGATGAACAAAGCAAGGCCAATCAGCTAATTACGTCACCTCTGTAACTTGAGTTTCCATTTCAGTATTATGTCTATACTGTCTTTTCTCTCTCAGTGTATCACTGCCAATTATTGGAATGCCTCATGAAATATAAGCAAGAAGTATGGAAAGTAAGTTTATAACCATATATACTTTGTAGAAATGACTGTATTTGGATAGTAATGAAAACCAGATGGCTTGAAAATGGAACTAACTGTGTGCCAAGAAGTTATAAATGATCTTTATATCCTATCCTCCTCCTGGATTATGGAGAGGAAGGTCCCTCTGATTTTTAGTTTACAGAAGCAGCTCGATGTATCGTAGAAAAGAGCTCTGTTTCCTAAATACTATGTGGTTGTGGTTCCAATTAGCAGAAATTTTGATAACGACCAATATTCTTAGTTCATGTGGTACTGAACTTTTACGAGGACTATTTGTGAGAGTTGTATTAGCCTGAATCTGATTTGAATCCAGTTATTTATCTATATCACACCTCTTTGCTCCATGGCTAGAGAGAGGCTTCGTTTGCTCTATGTTAGTACACTGCTCAGGGTGGGTGGTAGCCGTTGGACGCTCTGATCAAACTCAGAAGCTAATTGTGAACATGTTGGCATTAGTCATCTAATCTACTTGTAAGAGCGTACAAAGGATGTTTTGTAGGGCATGAAAAGTATATATTCTGTATATTCAGGTATCTTTGAACACAAGTAATATGTATTGAATTGTGTTTTGTTACCTTGCAAAATAAACATTTTGTATGTGTCTTTCCTTAGGATTTGCTATATGTGATAGCCTATGGACCATCCCAAGTTAAACCTCCAGCGGTACAAATGTTATTTCACTATTGGCCCAATTTAAAACCTCCTGGGGCAATCAGTGAGTACAGAGGACTGCAGTACACAGGTCAGTGCAGCTGTTTTTGTATAGGCCAAAATAAATATAAAGAAAATGATCAGAAGTGTGTTAATGTCCGTATTTACAGTTCTATGATTTATTTTGAAATCATTTGTTCGATAAGTTGGTACCTTCATAAGTATGTACGATATCCATTTCTCTGTATTGTCAAAAGTTGTTATGAAAAATAAAACCTGCGATTTTGGCTATTAAATAATTGTGTTAACTCCTGATATGAACCAAACCAGAACAGGAGAAGAAATAAATAAAGTATTCCAAATGGTCTGTGAAAACTGCCTTCTTGGCCTCACAAGGGTTCTGGCTTATGTTCCTTTCGATTATTGCTTTGGTTGCTTTTGTTGTGCCAGCTGCTGTCACTGCTGCTGTTGCTAAGAGTCCTTATCTGACTGTTATTGCCAAAAAAATTCCGGTGATGTCATGTGCACTCACTATAATGGATAAGTTCTCGAGGTCAGCAGTGCAGCTGGAGCAGAGTAGGTGGATGGTACAAAGTCCTCTGCCCGACAGAGTCCCCAATGATACCGATGGGATTGTGCTTCTGCAATGGGGAGTGTCCAGAGCAACTCATGACTTGCTTTTCCTTCTTGCCTGTCTCAACCTGTTTCAAATAATCGCTGTCATATAGGATATGTTTTGTTCAGTTTTAAAATTTCTGGACCAGAGCGCAATATTTTAGATAATAAAAATGAAGGATTGGTAGAGACCTTAGAAGACTCCCTAGACCAACTCAAGTACATCCTGAATGTTCGTTATACATGTTTGTCTGATCTGTTCTAAAGCCTTCTTTTGAAGGGTTGATAGGTTTTCCTGACTTTTTAAAAAAACTCAGTCTTGTACTGTTCTGCATCACTTCTTTCATGCAAGCCGGTCTGTAAACTAAGCATGGTGTTCCATCTGAACCTTTACTAGCACTGGGTAGACTGGAATAATTTTCCTATATATAAATTTTCTGTTAATGTATCCCAGAATGGGATGAGTATTATCTGCAGTTGAATGGGGTTTTGACCTGGGGGTGTCTTGTATAGCATCCAAGTGATGCCATTTGAACGTAACCTTAGTTGTTTACTTCTTGTCATTACAAAGCTAAGGCTCCTTCTGTGACTGGAGTAGTTTTCCTCTATCATAGCTGTGTTCTAATTTTGCCTGGGAATGTTACTGAATATACTCAGCTACTCCTACCATCCTGCTTCTGGATTGGAAGGATAATTAATTAATTCAAGGTGTTGGTGAGATCAGGAAGGGTCTACAATGGGGATGTTTGACCATTTCTTTGCTGAGTTCATGGTTCATTTCCTAAGTATATGATAAACAAGTCAGTAGGCATGTGTATTCTAGGTTGTTTATTGTAATTATTAGGCTTCCTGAGGAATGGCCAGGTCTTCTGTCATATTTGTGTAGTACTTAGTTGATAGGACTAGAAGGAATATACACAAGGAATATAAATGTATTTTCTCTTATTAATCAGCTGTGGTTTGGTTTTGCAGCTTGGAATCCTATTCATTGCCAGCACATCGAATGCCATAATGCTATTAACAAACCAGCTGTGAAGGTACTGCTATTTCTTCAGGGGTCAAACCCAACCATCTGGGGGATGGGAGGTTGCACTTGGACTGCAGCCGTATGCTCTGGTTGCGTGCAGGTGACCAAGAGCAGGAGCTAAGGGAACAATAAAGCCTGTCAAGACCAAGGGGGCCAGAACTTTGCGAATATGTTCTTTGGCTGCCAAGAGCAAGATGGGATATTTTCTCCAACTGCTGTGGGCCAAGTCTTGATATTAAACATGAGGATAGTTGCAGAGCCCTTTATAAATTCTAAACTGGCTCTGGGCTAATCCACGTAAATATTTTCCTGAACACACATATGTGTGTAAATATGTGCACAAATATTACTGTATACAAGATACATTATGTCAATTACATAGGTTCATGTTCACCTTGGTATCTTGATTGAGGCCATGCAATGCACCTACCCTGTTTGTCATCTTTTGCTTGGAATGTGTCCTAAAGCAAATAGCAGCAAAGCTTTACTTGCCTCTTGTACAGCCCATTTCCACAGAGGTAAATGGTATCTTTCCTGTTTACGTGCAGGGTAACAAAGTAAAACAGCTTGACTAGGATCGTAGCGCAATTTGATGGCAGAGGCAAGAACAACATCCAAGTCCAGAGCATACTACAGTTAGGTGTACTAATTAATTAGATTTGTATCCACTTAAATATGTAGATACAACCAATTTGCCTGGCATCAGTTCATATACTGGCATAATTACATTAGTCAAAAAATTCCTCAGTGAGCCTTTTCCACAGGCTGTGATACTGATAGGGCTTAATGGTGACACCTGTCTCACAAGTCCTGCAAGGGGCCACTTTCCTGTCCACTCCAGTCATTCTCAATGATCCCTTTTCATAGGAAAAAAAGATGGAAGGTGTTGCTTCATGTTGTGGTGATGGCTAGATTGACTAGTCACTGGGTAGAGCGAAATATCAATGAAATGTGTAGTTGCGAGCTTTGCAGATGAAATAGCTGAATATCTATGAATGATCTCATAGCTTAACTTGGGCAGAAGCAGTCTTCATCAGTCATCACTCAGAAAAATGCAGCATTTTGTCTCTTGGGCAGATGAGTGTAAACTTGGTGATCAAAGATAAACATTCCAAGAGGCATTTGTCTTTATAAATAAGATCTTGCACATGAATGGAGTAAGAAACATCTTGATTTAAGTGGTTAAGATGTTGTGTATGCATACTACTGTTCAGCTTTTCTTTAAATGGTGCAAAACGCTTAAACAAACGTGTATGTAACTGGCTGTTAACTGTAAATGTTTTCTGTATCTGGCTAATCTGGAAGGATAAAAGTTTATGCAAGAAGACAAAGTTTGGACCTCTGCTGCCAAGGGAACTATGGGTCCATAGTCTTGGTTCTGTCCCTGGAATTGTGCTGTATAATTAACACCTATGATGAATGAAAATTAGATTTTGCTAGAAGAGGCGTTACTGCGAGAGAAAAATCTAGACTTATCTAGACTTTTACATTACCTTTTCTAAGAAATGGATCCTCTAAGTGACTATCTCTTTGGAAAAAAAAAAGTAAGTCTTTAATGACTGTGCAATGTAAATGTGTAACACAGAATAAACTTTTCTTTCAGAGAGTGATAATACTGATATTAAAATATGTCTTGTTCCCTTCCCATAGGCTCTCATTTTCAGTTACATCCCTCTCTGTTAGACATAATTTGAGATCCTGTACTGCCAGATGCCAAGTAGCATCTTTCAGAATGCTAAATGCTCTCAACACATATCAAAGCTGTGTTACATTGTCTGTGCTAGCATTAATGTGTTGAACATTTTCAGTGGGCTTCAGAGAACAGACATGTTAATTCTTTTCCTTCTCTGTGTTTCAGATGTGCATTGACCCATCCTTGTCTGTGGCTTTGGGTGATAAGCCACCTCCCTTATATCTTTGTGAAGAATGTAGCCAGAGAATTGCAGGGTAGGTAAACTAAAAGCTGGAAAATTATCAGGTATAGTTGGACTCCAGAGTTCAGAACTCTGGAGTTATGCTCTATTTCAGTATGATTAGCATATAATTTATACAGATAACCCTGTTGAAATATATTTACCCCACATGATCAGCATTTGCATCTAGCTTGAACAGTAGTGAGTTTTAAAGTTAAGATCTCGTGAGTGAATAGATACTGTGGGATGCATTGACTATGATAGGGGAACCTTATTAATGTGCAAGCTCTTGCTTATGAAACAATTTTTCTCTTCATCCTTTAGTTGTCGTTAATGCAGGACATTACAATGAAAGCTCTTTCACAGAGACTTCGTTACTTCTCTGTAACGTATATTTCAGATTATTCTCTAGGGTATACTGTGAAGCAGCAGGGTAAAGAATTGAAATTGCTTCAGGCTTGTCCAGTACCTGGAAGGACTATAGCCTGAGAGGAATTAACCTCACTTACTTTTTTTTTTTTTTTAAAAAATATTTTGCTTTTATTTTTTGAAATTGCTAATTTGGTTTGCATTATTTTACAAGATCTGCTAATACTTATGGGGAGTTCCAATCATTAGTTCAAATGGACAAGGTTATAGGTAGTTCAGAAGCTACATGTGGTTTTTTGTTCTCAGTTTAAGACACCTTTATATCACACCAGCTGTAGGAAAAGCAATTACATCTCACCTTAGATTTTTAAGTCGTCATTGATTTAAAGCTGAAGGAAAAAGTAATTGAATTTGGTAGAAGCGTAGCTTCTAAGGAGACTCACAGAAGACAGTACTGGTACGTTTTTTTTATGTTGATATGTTATTCTTCACTATCATTTTTTAGCCATCAGACTTTCAGAGCACACGCTATTTTAATTTGATAAATTTATGCCTTAAAAGTAATTTTTTGAAAGCCTTGAACATGGTGGACCAACATCAGCTAAGTGGTAATTTGCAATAAGACAGGCACAACAGAGAGGTAATATAAAGCAACCTGCAATTTATAAAACTACATTTGTAAAAAAGCAGCTTCAGAATAATGTCAGTCCTGCCACATTAATTTAGATAAATTTCCTCTGTGCAAAATTAAATGCATATATAAATGAAAAATGGAAAGCTAATTAGATATACAATTTTTATAGGGAACACAGTGAATGGTTGATTGATGTTCTTCTACCACAAGGTAAGAGGTATTTTAAGGGTAGGTACAAACTAATCATAATTGTACAACCCTATGCTTACTGATATTTCTGCATACAGTTTTACTTGAAATGCTGCATTCTATTCTAAAGCAATTTTTTAGAATTTTAAAGTAGCTTGTATTTAATACTGCTTATAACGTCCTTAAAGTACTATGCAAAGTTGACAAATCTTCTGTCAGAAATAGTATGCAACTCTTCGTGTGTGAGGAAGCAGAGACAGTTGAACAGATTTCAGATACTGAAGCATCCACAGTTGGGGCCAAGTTTTTTGAAAGTATTCGTGTCCCACACCGGTATCCGAAAAAACGGGCTAGTTCTTCTGGTAACCTGGGTCTGACTTGAAAGCTCTTAAACCTTCTGAAAATCTATTCTCTGAACAGAAGTCTGTAAAGGATATCAGAAGAGGACATAAAATGTTTTTCAATGATCCAGTGATTGATCCAGTCGCTGTCCTTTGGCCAGTGACAGAGACTGATATTGTATTATCTACCAGAATGCAAGCAAAGCTTGTTGACAGACTAATCAGAATTTCCTGTGTTTACAAGGACAGCCACACATTCTCTGAAATAACACTTTCAAGGATAGAACAAAGACAATGCTTCTGTCCTTGTTCTGTAAACTGAAAGTTCTTAGGCAGTGGAGATTTTTTTGCTGTCTCCTTTTAGTTGAAATCTAATCCAGATTAAGAATTTTTTATTTGCTTAAGAGAAGTACTTTTTACTCAACCATCTGTATTTACTGAATCAGCTGTTGCCAGGGCAACACGTTGAATCTGGAAACATTTCCTATGAGTTATAGGCCACAGACATAGTGTCTGCTTCTACATTGTTCACTAATCTTTCATCCTGCAAGCTTTCACAGGCAGTGTAGGCACATCTGAGCCATGTCTCCTACAGCACGCCACAGCAGTGTGCCTACAGGTGTACTTTTACCAGTCTGTCCGTGAGATGGAAGCATAGGCAGAGGGTGGATGGGATGCAGAGCGCGCCATGCTTAATGCGCCAAGGCTGCTCTTTCATTTCAGCGTAGAAATAGCCAGGAGGCCTAAGTATACAGTGTCCTACCTCATGCAGTCTGACAGGCTTAGAGGTTTCAATAATGTCTGGAAACACAAGTTTCGCCTCAGAGACTTCCTGCAGCAAGTCCGTTTTCCCATGGCTGCCGTAGTGAAACAGAAGGATCATCGTTCTGTGTTGATGTTTTGTATGCCTTCCCCTTACAGCTGAAATTTCTGCTATATGTCAGAAGAAGGTAAGATTCAGTCATTTGTGTGATGGAGCATGATTTGATGTTGTGTGTAGCGTCATTCCATTACTATGTGGTGCGCTCTTTTTTGTACCATTCCAAATTTTCACAATTTATCCATGAATGCATTTGTTGGTGGATGGGAATGATTCACCAGCAAGGTTTCTTTTTGTTAAAACTGTTGATGTTTGATTTAAGTTGTAGGTTTTTATTGAAGTGGCAATTAGTAAAGCAGTTCAATTACGCAGTTGAGCTCAGTTTTTATTCTCTGCTTATGAAGAGGATAGAGCAAGAGATTAATTTTAAATCTAAGTGTTTTTATCTTCTCATCTCTTTGAAGTCTTGGATTAATCCTAAATTGGACAAAAATCCTACTGTAAACTGCGAATTTCTAAAAATATATGGACTGAAAGTCTTCAGTACTTGGCTCTAAAAAGATTGCTGACAAAAAGAATCTGCTTGCAATACATACCAGCTAGTGTGTTTTAACAGCCTCTTAATAATGAAGAATACAGTGGGTAACATACTCTAGATTTTATGTGGTAAAGAAAGCTTTTATTTTGGGATGGATTACTAGGTGGCAGAAATAAAGGTAGTGCATATTTCTGAGGCTTGGATGGTTACCTATGGTAAGGCAGATCCTTACATGGCATAAGCTGATGTGGCTCTATTGATTACGCTCCTAAGGATCTGCCTGTGGCTACACATAACTTAAAAGACATTCTGAAGTATAAGCAGGGGTTAAGAGAACTACTGTAGATTTTAGACATTGCTCCAAGCCAGAAAGTTGAGGTTGATGACTTAAATGTTGGTTTGATCTGCTCCAAAAGAAGAGCAACTGTGACATTTAAGTCCAGGCCCAGCATTTAGGCCTGGGCTTGTCTTTCTGCAAGTTCAGTGACACCTGGCATCAGGAGTTTGCACACTGTTGTGCTTCTATGTAGTGATTTTGGAAATGGTCAACACTTGAGCCAGTTTCCCAGTGCTGACTCTCATCCCTGTCATTCAGTTCCACTCCTTGATACTTGTGGCCTGATAAAATCTTTTTTATTTTCCAGAACTGTAGCTCACATGTCAGAAGAGCTGTTGTCACATGCTTCTCTGCGGGCTGCTGTGGCCGCCATGGCAACAGGCCAGTGCGCTATTGCAAAAGATGCCATTCGAATCATCACAGCAGTGAAGTTGGGGCAGCCGCAGAAACCCATCTTTATCAGACCTCGCCACCCCCTATCAATACCCGGGAGTGTGGGGCAGAGGAACTTGTGTGTACCGTGGAAGCTGTGATCAGGTAATATGGCAGATTATGAGGCATCAGTACGTAAGGAAGGATCAGGGTTTCATGCAAATATTGCCTGCACGTCTTATGCAAGTTGATTTTGGTTTCAACAGGGTAAGTTCAGAGCAAGACTGCTTTAGCAGAGTACTGGTCAGCTGTGAGTGTTGTCCTCATGGAAGAAGTCAGCCTTGAATCCTAGAATTTGATGTTATGTTACTACTGTTCTCAGGAAAATGATATCAGATGCCTTAACCTGTAGTTGTTCTTGATTAGATAGCTGTATCCAGTGCAGGAAAGCTGCATTCACTGACCACAGGCTTGTTTTGTAGCTTGCTGAAGGAAGCAGAGTTTCATGCTGAGCAGAGGGAGTATGAACTCAACCGCAGGAGGCAGATGGGCCTCACCTCTTCCCATCACTCCCTGGACAACACAGATTTTGATAATAAAGATGATGACAAGCATGACCAACGCCTCCTGAGCCAGTTTGGAATCTGGTTCTTGGTGAGAAATTCTTACTATCTTCTCTCACTCCTCTCGCTTCCATCTGCTTTTCTTTCTGAAGCCTCAATTTTATATCTCTCTTTTTTGTTTTGTTTTGTTATTCCCCCACTTCTTGGATTTAGTTGGGTACTCCTCTGATTTGTAAGCAAAAATGGGGAGTTCTGTGAAGCTGTCAGACTTGGAGATTTCAGAAGTACTTTGGATGGAGCTGCCAACTGCCTCTGAGTCCTGTATAGAGTGTATAACAGAATTGTTCACTCTGTCAGTTTTTTGACTTTCTATATACCGTCATCTTCTGCTTACAGAGGTCCCCCACTGAGTGTCATTATTTTATCCTTAAAAGGCAATCCCCTAAAGATCTATCTTTCACCTTCCATCTTTCAACATCACTCTCTGGAAGCCCATCTTTTTCTCTTGCCTGTGAATAGGCTAGAGGAGTCTTAGTTGGCTGCATTTCCTTGCTGCCTTTCGATTGGTCTAGCTGAATCAGTCCCAGTCATTGTACTCCAGCTGATTGACGCAGTGTGGGTTGACAGAATGAAGCCTTGCTGGTTCTGTCCCTCACAGTAGCTAGCAGGCATTATTCCAAAATAGCAGAGTTGCTGCTGGCTAGTTCATGAGCAGGACAGACTGGAGCCTGATAGATCCTCAGAAACTGGATTCTGCAGTTCTCCTTAAGGAACATTCTGCTCTCCTTCTCATGCTCTTTCACAATTCACCTTGAGCTCTCAGGCTCTCTGCTCAGTTGCCCAGTGACCCAGTGGGGAATAGTAGGACCACTTATCCATCATCTAAACAGAGATGGGGACAGCAGGGTGACAGGTCTAGAATCCCATAATGACAACAAAGCTGCTTTTCTGTTTCAAGTGACTACATGAGTAAACTTCGTATTCTGCTGATATCTTGTGAGTTTTGTTGTTTAACGTTGTTTTTTCAGACTTAAAGACTTTTAAAATTTTTTTTAATTGTGCCATATTTATCTGTTCTGTTTCAAATCATGTTTTGTAAGACTGAAGGCCTATGTTTCCGGAAGTAGAATTGAAGTGAGAACAGAAAAGGTTTTGTTACACTATACATGCCTCATCCTTTAACACTGAAAGTCTGTCTTTCCATGGTAGGGAGGAGGAGCTCACTGACTTTGTTCTATTCGTATAAAATCTCTTAATCTCTCTGTAGTGAGTATTGCCAGAGATTGTGAGAAAGTGGGTTGCTGATTTCTTTCATGAAATGAATACCTTTCATCTAGAGACTGGACAGAGCTCAAGAGTTCCTATTAAAAAGGCTGCCAGCTGATACTGCCTTTGAGTTAACACTCAACTGAGACAAGCACCAGGAAGCAAACACCTTAACTTCAGCCTGCAATGAAGTAGAACAATGAAGACTGTACTTTGAATTGGCAAGGATGTTAGCTGCTTCATCCCAGGAGAAAACATGGAGGAAAAGCACTTAGAAGATGCTTTCTGGTCTTCTCTGGGAAGCAGTACTGTCAGCTGCTTCCACAGAAATGACAGGAATGTTTCTCCTTTGTTCACTTGCTGCAGGGCAGCAGACACTGGTTTCAGGTTGCCAACTGCTCAGAGTACAGCTTTCACTAGGAAGTGGCAACAAACAGCTGATAGGTGGTTAAAGGAGTTTCCTAAATCTCCTGTCATCTGTTATTTTCCATTCTTTGGATTCAGTGCAGCAACCTGACTTGAAACTTTGTCTCCTGTCCCTGGAAGATACCAAGAGCTCATATAGCAGGTAATTAAGGGCTTAGGACTGTGCCTGGTCTGTGAACTGGGATACAGACTTGGTCTCAGATTTGGGACAGTTTTACAGTGCAGACATCGTTTTAGAAAGAGAGAGTTTGGAGAAGGGGAGAAGAATATTAATTATTGTGTGAGAGTTTTTGAGGACTTAAAACTCGTATTTCCATCCCAAATAAGGACAAAAAATGCAAACTGGAATCTTCTTGCAAAGCAAAAAATTAGTTAATATAGTAAGTAGACATCTGCTTTCATAGTTCTTGAAATTCTTCATTTGGCTTGTCTTTTTATCTTGTACATTTTATATATAACACACATACACACGTATATATTTTACTAGGCATTACATTACCTTTTGAAATGAAATATCATTTTAAAGTTCAAACCAAAGTGTTTCAGTTTGTCAAAGCATTCTGTATTGTTATTTTCAGTGTCAAAACTAAGAACCAAAAATTCAGTGCTTGATTTTTTTTTTTTTTTTTTTTTTTCTCTCTTATTGTTCTTTTCTAGTTTGGAAATGTGTTGTCAATTGTCCTGTGCCAAACTCTACATAAAACCAATCAGCTTGTTTGTCTATGTAATCTGCATCCTCATATCTCTGAGAATATGCAAAATATAGTAGACAAACAATTATGCACCTTTAGTTCTAGAAATGAAACTTGATTTGTGTTTCTGTCTTCCAGGTGAGCCTTTGCACTCCCAGTGAGAATACACCCACAGAGAGTTTAGCAAGGCTGGTTAGCATGGTATTCCAGTGGTTTCACTCTACAGCTTACATGATGGATGATGAAGTTGGTAGCCTGGTTGAAAAGCTCAAACCCCAGTTTCTTACTAAGTGGTTGAAGACTGTTTGTGATGTCCGGTTTGATGTCATGGTTATGTGTCTCCTTCCTAAACCAATGGAGTTTGCCAGGGTAAGAATAATTTACCTGAAGGTTCCTTTATTTGCCACAGAGATTAAAGTCTTAAGTATAAAGACCATTTCTCCCCCAGCTCTGTCAAAGCAAAAGAAATCTCAATAGTTGAGGGAGCAATGAAGTTCAGGAATTTTTCCTCTTCATGGCATTTTTAGTTTTACTGTGTTAAGAGAACAAGGATTATTTACAGTAATATGAAGACAGGTTGGAGGGATATTATAAGTATTGAAAGATACTGTGGATTTTTGATAGCTGCACATTTCCATGCCCTGTAGCTTCAGATACCTAATTTAAGTGACTCAGTTAAGCGACCAATCTGCCATGGTAGCCTTATTGTTGATGGAGAGAAAGAGACTTATCTGGAAGGTCATTCAGGGTGCCTAAGTGAGTCTCTGGAATAGATTCTAGAAAGAGTCTTTCTGTCCATTAATTATGAAGCAGAACTTGCCACTTAGCCTCTTAACCTGCATAGCGAAGACAGGCAACAAAGTCAGGCATGTGAATATTCCTCTATAGAAAATGAAACATCAGCATGAAAATAGGAGCTTTACATTTGTGAGGGATTTAAGACTTTTTCCTCATTTATCACTGCCAACTATACCACATGCGCCTTTGTAAGACTTTCATTTTGTGACCCTTTTTATGTAAAATGTCCAGAGGACAGGTTGGTTTTGTTTCCTAAAATTAAGTAACTAGACTAGGAAGGGCCATAAAAACTTGATGTGATGCATACATCATCAGGGATGAAGTCTGTATCCATGGGTTTTTCCTGATCTGATATATGGGATTTGCTGTACGTGTGCAGACCAGCATGTGTATGTGTCTTACTGCAAACCATCTCTCCGAAGGTACACCTGTCTGTGAGAGGATTGGAGGGCAGCTGAGGGAATTTGAGAGGTGGATGGATGCATTGAATGTTAGAACTGAAGAAAAGACATCAGGGCTTTGAGGCTAAAGGGGAAAGGAAGGACTCAACCTCATGCTGTAATCTGTTGTGGATCTTTTTCTTGTCTTGGATCCAGCCCCTTTTTTGAGTTTTATTACCCCCACTGCAATACTTAAGACTAGGTTGACAACTTGCCATATTTGCAAGGGTTCAGTAGAACATGAAAACAGAGAGCCATGAAATTAGCTGTGATGAATGGAGAAAACATAGTTGTTGGCTGAGAGTACCGGTAATTGCTGCCAAAACAGCAGGCATCTCTAGAGCCATTAGTCAGGAACAGCAGATGTGAGCCGTGGTCAGTTAGAATAATTAATCCCTGTAGGCCGGTTTCTTATTTATTTAGAAGTATATTTTTTGGCTTCCATCGCTTAGAACCTTCCCTCAAAAAAACCCAAAACAAACAACCACAAGAGAACACCTGGTACAGACCAAGGTTTTTCAAAATAAAGACCCAGCGCTGTAACAAGTTGCTCAGAGTGAATAATTGAAGGTTTGACCAAACAAATCGGTCCCTTGTTGAGAACTGTAAACAAGGAGAGGTTATTCTTTGCATGGTCTGGAAGTGAGCAAACTTCATCTAAATCATGAATCAAATGAGAGAGGAAGAAAACAATGCAACCCCCATGGCTGAATTCTAAATTCAGGCTGGAAGGTACTGATGATCACCCCCCACAATTTCCTGGCTGCAACACACTGAGCAAATTTATGGTGCTAGGCAAGTTACAGGGACTGGAAGTATCGTTCATAAGTGTGATTCCTGGAAATACCCACAGGTTGGTGGATACTGGGACAAGTCGTGTAGTGCTGTGACCCAATTAAAAGAAGGGCTGAATCGAATTCTTTGCTTGATTCCATACAATGTGATAAACCAGCCAGTGTGGGAATGTATCATGCCAGAATGGTTGGAAGCTATAAGGACAGAAGTGCCTGATAATCAACTGAAAGAGTTCCGGGAAGTGTTGAGGTATGTACACATATGTAGGAACCTTTCTATCATTTGATATGTTGATCGTTGAGGCTTTTGTCACAATAAGATGGTGACAACAAATAAAAACGCCTGTGTGCAATAGACAGTAGTGAGTGAATGCTTCTGAATTTGTTTACAACTTATCTTTAGACTAAAGCACTTAAACTTTGGGAAAGTTTCCTTTTATTACTACTGAGATCCTCAAATTTGTATCAAGGGCCAAATACATGGATGATGCTTTGCTGTGAGCAAGGCACATTTTCTGTGGCTTCCTGCAACATGGTGGAAGAAGCATCTTTCTCCTCCTGGCCAGCTGTTGATGAGAAATGATGGAGATTAGTAGAGCTGGCACTGAAAGAGATGATTTGTATTGATTTAGCTAATATCTTCCTCTGTTGAGCAAAGAAAACACCAGAATAAGACTGATGGCTGTCTGAGTCATAATTTCATGTCTGGTGTATACCTTTGACAAGAAAACCTCACATTGCCTTTTAACTGATGAAGAGGCTCTAAAACTGACTGTAAATTTATATTTGTAGGTATTGATGTAAACTTGTTTAGTGTAAACATGGAATAGTGGAGGAGTGGTGAGATGAGAATTTTTCCAATTTTGACATTGGAAGTTGAAAAAGGTATTGTTATCAAATGAAACTGGGCATGATATGAGATGTGATGTAAATTCTTAAGGTACATCACCAAATTCAGAGATGACGTTGTGCAGTCAGGACAGGTGATATCAGCAACCTGTGTCAAATCCCTTGGAGGGTGAGGATGCAAGTAAGATTACAGAAGCATCATCTGGTAGGGAGAATGCCTTTCTACCAGTTTTCTGTTACATCTTTCGCAGTGCATGCCGTGGCAACTCAGTGATGCTATATTTTTGTTCTACTTTTCAGCAAAATGTTTGACACTGAACTTTGTCCTCTCCCTTTCTCTATGGAGGAGATGTTTGGCTTCATTAGCTGTCGATTCACGGGCTATCCATCCTCTGTGCAAGAGCAAGCATTGCTTTGGCTGCATGTAAGTGTCTCTTCTTGATAAGTCATGCTGAAGCAGCTTATGATTTTGGAAAAGAAAAAAAAAAGAGGGGGAAAAAAGTGCCTGTTTTCCAAGGATTGTGGAACCTTTCTGCCCTTTGCTTAGCACCAGTGTAAAGATGATTGGTAGACAGATCCCAGGAAGCTTTATATTATTAGCCCATCATGGGCGATATAATGGAAGCCTGGAAATTGCTTTTACCGTTGAATGTTAGTTGTGTCTTTAGGGCCATTCAGCTGTCTGACTTTTTGCCAGCAGTAGTTTTCAGTCTGCATGAAATTTGCTCTGTAGATTACAAAATTAATTCCAGACTCCAGAACCAGCTGTAGTTGTTCCTGCATATGGAGAACTGGATTAAACTAGCACTGTACCCATTGAGATTTCTGCTGCTTTGGTCCTTTTATACTGTATTTTCCCACAAAACTGGCATTCACCCAATGTTCGTATTCAAAAGCTGCGGGGACGATCATGTCAGCTGGGAACAGCAAATTCAAAAGGGTATAAAATTTTCCATAACACCTCAGAATAATACCTGTATTCTTCATTATTGCTTCTTTTCTGCTGAGGGTTATTTTGCTTAAGCCTCTGCAAAGACCAGTTTACCTGATGACTGTAGCACTTTTCAGGTATGCAGAGCTTTCAAGTAAAGTATGATTTTTTTGATTTTTTTATTTTTTTAGATTTTTCTTGACCTAATGACAGTTCATGACAAGTATGAATGAGCTCATATTTGTCTGAGTATTGGTGACAAAATAGATAACGAATATTCCCTCAGCGATTTGCAGATAACTATCCTGCCACTATGTTGACATCTGTAGGCTGCCATTCTGACTGGATTCTTAGACTAAATGCAGAAATTCAGTTTTAAGTAATAATAAATACAGTAAATGATTGTTCATTCAGGTATTGATAATACTTTTGGTTTACAGAAATATTTTTGTGGAACAACCTCCCTGTGTGTTCGTGCATAAAACTGATCTCAAGGTGCACCAAGTGGATGCCAAGAAATGTTTGGAAAATACCTTTTTTTCCCCAGTTCTTTTTTGCCCTGATTCTAACAGAAATCTAAGCTTGCAGCTCACCTCACTTAATCCTGAAATGAAATGTGTGAAACTTGCTGAACTGAGGATCATATGATAAAGGTGCTTATAAAGTAGCTGACATTTTTGATCAAACTTGAAACTCATGCTTTTTTATTTACTCTCTTTCCTCAGGTGTTATCTGAACTAGACATTGTTGTTCCTCTTCAGTTATTAATCAGCATGTTTTCTGATGGAGTTAATTCTGTAAAAGAGTTAGCAAATCAAAGAAAATCAAGAGTCAGTGAATTGGCGGGAAATCTTGCAGCTCGGAGGGTAACTGTTGTTTATCCTGCTTATTTTTTTTGCTTAGAACTGTTTTCCTAATAGAATGCATGTGAAGAATTAAAAAGTCATCTTTCAATATGGCAGCATGTGGTTGGAAACACTCTAAATTTGGAAAATGGAAAAAAATTGGCATGACTTCTTCAATTAATACCACTCTATCACAGGGTCAGTGGAAGGGTAATGCAGATAGGAACTGCAGAAAAACTGTGCGTTTTTTTCTTAATGAACTGGTATGTTTGGGATATGTTTGGAGTGTTCTTGGTATCTTTTCCAAACATTTTCATTCTCTGCACTTTCTATTAATAACCGTCAATAACAAACTCTACAGACAACTGGTGACCCTGAGTGAGATTTTATATTCTAGTACAAATTTGATGGGCCTAGGTATGTTTTGGAAGGGTGACAGAGCAGAATTTATTTCTGTTTCCCTGTATGTTTTTTCCCCATCCAAGAGATGCAAAAATTGATCTCAAGTTGGCTGTCAAAGACTTATAGTCTGGAAGAAAACACATACAAATCTGTAGGCACTACACGTATTTGGACTGATGTGACTAACTTCCCAGTAGTCCTGGACAAAGTGCTTCAAGGACAGCAGGAACAGGAGTGCGTGAAAGGTTGGATCTTTAGATTTAAGAAACTATGGCATCTAGGCAGTTGATGATTCCTTACATGTGGTCTGCCTGTCTTCTGATGTAGCTCCACAAAGAGCACTCCCACACCTAGCCCCTGACCACTTGTAAACTAAGCAGAAAAAACAGACAAACTTACTGTCTGGTCTTTCAGACCATAGCTGGCCTAAAAATAGACCTCATGTGTCTGTCTCACTGTGTATCTCCCTGCAACATATAAGAAGTTCTCAGGGTGTTTTAGGTGGCCTGCTGTGCTGTGGACATAAATCAATGCAGAGATGCACATCTTGTTACTGTTGTGTCTGGTTCATTTCCAGCTACCTGTATCCTTGGTATAGCCTTAATTGCACTGTTCTCTTGACGTAGCCTCCTATTATTGAAGTTCATGTCCACGGATCATGGAGCAAGTCATTGTAACCTGATGGTCGCTTTACTGCCTGCACCAATTTTGTGTTTGGTTTATGATGTTAAAATTCCACTTTAGTAGGAATAAGATAATGCATGTCAGCCACATGCCTTAAAAGAATGTATACATCCGTGCAGGATATGGTTCCTGTGCTTCTATCATATTTTATCATTTAATGGCATTAAGGGACACATGTAGATTTTGCAGAAAAGCTACAGAAGGGAATATTAAAGCTGTCAAAATTCTTGCTATTTTCTGCAGTTTCATATAGAGTGAGATTCCTTAAACGTGTAACAATCATTCCAACGTGTGGATTCTTTATGTTTTCAGGTAAGCGTTGCTTCTGACCCTGGGCGCAGAGTTCAGCACAACATGCTGAGTCCTTTCCCAAGCCCCTTCCAGAGCCCATTTCGGAGTCCATTGCGTAGTCCTTTTCACAGCCCTTTCAAGAACTTTGGACACCCCAGTGGAAAAACAATTGATTTTGACTGTGAAGATGATGAAATGAATCTTAATTGCTTCATTCTGATGTTTGATCTCATCTTGAAGCAGGTACTCACAGAAGGAAAATGCCAATGTTGAAGGGACACTGAAGTTCTGTAGTTGTCTTTGGCTCTCCTTTAGTCTTGTATCGATTCCCTTTTTGCTAAGGGACTGACGTGAAGTATAAGACATTTAAATCCCTCTAGAGCTGTCATCTGCCTTTGCCCGTATAGGAGTTACAGGTTCACATTCAATGAAGAGAAGTTAGATACCTCCACGTTCATGTTAGATAGCTGATATGAGTGAAAGGAACTTCTTGGACCTACGTTTGTTTCTACAGACTAGAAGCGGAGGCTTGTTGATAGGCGGCTTAGATTAGATGCATAGTTTTTGGATAGCATTGTGAATCCAAGGCCAACTGTTTTGGATAACTGTCCCAGGTGAAATTCATGGATCCTGTGCTTGAAATTGCCTGTTTACTCTAGATGTTTGAGCTTGGGCCTCAACACCAGTGGCAATTTAAAATTGTGAGTTCCAGTTTATCTCAGGCTCTTCCTAGTACTGCAATATAACACTGGCAGAAATGTAGGAGGCAGAATAATTAGTGCTCTGGCTTTTAAATAAATAATAAATCGTTACTCTTTTTATTCTCTTTCAGATGGAACTCCAGGATGACGGTGTCACTTTGGGCTTAGAGAACAACATTTCAAAAGATATAATATCCATCATAAACAATGTGTTCCAGGCACCCTGGGGTGGTTCTCACACCTGTCAGAAAGATGAAAAAGCAGTTGAATGTGGTCTGTGTCAGTCCAGCATTCTGTGTTACCAGCTGGGTTTTGAGCTGCTGGAACAGCTTGCTCCAAAAGAAGAAATTAGGCTTGTGGTAAGTAGAGCAGGAAAGGGCCTATGGTATTGGTGTGCTGAAACTCCTGTTCTTGATCCTTCTCATTACATTGTGCACAAGGGAGCAAAGCTGCGCTGACCTTTGGTGTGGAGGATTTGGGAGGTTAAAGCAAAATACCATTGAACTGTAAAATTTCCTAAGTTTGAATTGATTCAAAGAACCCTGGGAAAATGACAATATTCATCTAGTATGAACTCTTCCCCTATCAACGTTGAAGTGCTGCTTCACTTTTTAGAAGGCCACTCCTATAATACTGTGTCTTAAATAAAACATGAAACATTAATACTTGCTGCTTTTCGTCTACTTTTGAAAGCTAAGAGCAGGTATTTTTAAATGATTAATGATTTTGAGTGAATCAGTTTTCAAGTGAGCAAGCCTTACTTGGTGCTTGATTGTTGAACATGCTGAGCACTGTTGAAAACCAGAATATACTTCAGTTTGAGTATCCAGATTTATCAGACACAGATACGTACTCTCCAATCGCTAGTCATCATTAAAGTCCTCTGTAGCTTTACAGAAGAATTGAAGCATTACTTGTGGTGTGATGAATTTATTTTAAGCTGTGAGCCTACTGTACGTAACTGTTCCATCTGATGGTTCAGAGGACAGCATCATTCCCCTTATTCCCGAGTGCTCATTTGCTGTGCCATGGTAATGGCAGGATGTTTGTTAGTAATTCTTTTTTGGTGGTGACCATAGCGATGCCTTTTGATGTGTAAAAGTTTCGGAATTCCATTTGGAAGTGTATGCTAATAGTAGGTATAGTGCATATGTATACAGTGCTAGAAAACTCATCTCGTACCCTTTCAATTCAGATTCTCACCTCAACTGAAAAGTAGCAAGTGGTGCAGTCTTTTGAGTACTGGGGTTGGGTGCCGTTTCTAGGAACCACTTTGCGATTTATAACATAAAGGTCGCAATGGCAACCTTTACAGATTGCTGAGCTCTTAGCTCTTGGCCACAGGCAGAAGTAACTCCAGCCTGGTCCTTTTTTCAATGTAAAAGTAATTGAGGTAGCTTCTCCCTCTAAGCCTGTCACTCTACAGTTAGTGTAGGAAACACGCCCTGCTCCTGCCTGTTCCCGCTCTGAGGCAAGGATGACAAGTTTGGTGAAACCACAGCCCTACGATGGGATCCACCTCAGCTCCAGTATGGATATACAGTTTCTGTTAATTTGTCACTTAAATCCACGTTTGGAACATAGTCTTCTTGTCAGTGTGCATTTGCTGATGCAGAATTTTAGATATGCAGGTGATTTGAATGCACAAGTGTGCACGGAACTAGACGGCGTCTGCCTCATTTGAGCTCAGCTTATCACACCAAATGTAACTTAAACAGCAGGATATGGCCTCATGCATTTAGATAACCTCAAGAAACAAATTTAACTTATTATATTCTTAAAGGAGCCTACAGATAACCTCGAGGATAGTCTTCTGTATACTAGACCTGAGTTTATTATAGGAACTGAAGGAGAAGAGGAAGACAAATTGGCACCAAAACATGGAGAAAACCCAGGAAATCATACAGAGACCACAGAAAATGCTGGTAGGTGGAGGGTGAGAAGGTTGAGTATTTCACTAAGTTTTTAGATGAAATGCTTCTACTCATGTAGAATACAAGGTTCTGAAACAGTCTTTCAAGTCCAATAATTCATGGTCGTTTTTTTCCTCATGCATTTAGTTCTCTCATCGTATTAATTAAATAGAAAGGCTGTGTTTATGTTGATAGCAAATGTGACTGTCTCTCAAAAAAACATTAGAAGAAATGTCGTTTTGAACATACAAAGCAGCAAAACCATGGCATACCAAATTCAGGCCAAATTCTGTGTTCTTGTAACTTTATTGACTGCAAGGTTACTGTGGCTAGAATTAATTTCTCTCTCATCACTGACATTCTTTAGTTTTATTTTGAATCCACAGATGAGAGAATTTTAATGGTATTTTGTGTAACTTACATTTTTAACAGCGATAAAGAATGACACAGAAAGAAAATTTTGTTATCAGCAACTTCCAGTTACCTTGAAGCTCATATACACTATATTGCAGGTAACATTGATTATTCTACTCGTTCATTTAGTTTGAATTTTTGGTTAAGTGGTGTCATTGTGTTGAGAGTGGTACATCTGTTTACACAGGAAATGTCAAGGTTCGAAGAACCAGACATTCTTTTTAACATGCTGAACTGTCTGAAGATCCTGTGTCTTCATGGGGAATGCCTGTATATAGCAAGAAAGGACCATCCACAATTTCTTGCCTATATTCAAGATCACATGCTGATTGCAAGGTAGGTTTTCATCATATATTTTGTCTTCATACTTCATTGGTTCTCCAATTATACGTGCATTGTTGGCATCAAAGAATTTGCAGGTTTAGTATGAAAAATTAACAAAGGATGGTAGGGAAGTGTGGAAAGGTTAAGTAACTGCATAAGGGAACATTTCCCAAGCTAAGTAAGAATTTGCAAATGAAACCAAGGTACCCTGCATTGTCCGACATAGCTACTCTGTCATGCACCAGTTGTTCTGCAGTGAGTCAGAGTTTCTTACATCGAATAATAGCGTTGTCTGAGACTGAGTTGTCTTCCCTGACTTGACAAAATAAAATAAAGGATGATGTAGAGGCAGGCACACAGTTTACAGGGCGTTAGCATTAAAGCTGAGAGAAAAGTATTGCGTCTTATTTTTAAGAGGTAAAGGAAGCTTCTTCATTTAGAATCAAAGTGAATTGGATTGAAATCTGTGCATTTTAAGATTCTCTTTGGAGAAGGAGACTTTTGCAGAAAAGTCACTGAATAAACATCAGCATACGATGTTCTGAAATAGAGTGTGTTCATAAGTGCTTACAGCTGCTCTGTATTAATTTCATTGACCATCTCCTGAAACTGTAGGGTTTTAGAAACTAGAGAATCTGTCCCTAATCTAAATACCAGCAAAATGTGAACACCCGACATCTTAGTCATTCATGGATACACATGATTCATGGTGCCAAGACAGTTCATGTGGCTTATGCGCTGAAGCTAGTCGTGCTGAAACTGCTGATTCATGACATAGATTATGTTCCATGGCAGTTGTGCCTTGAATTAGGCAAACTCTTGTCAAAATGTTTCAATGTAAGGGATATTTGAACCTGGATTTTCAAGAAAAACTGCTGTAGTTGAAGATTTGCAAGTAACTCTGTTCTCCTACCGGTAACTCTATAGTATTCACATAAATGCCCAGGATGGTTTATAGAGATTCTCATGAAACGTGCATTCCCACCAACAATACAGGGTGGACACTGAGAAGAAAGGATGTCAAGGGAGCGTTTTTTATAATCAGGCTTGCTCTTTTCTTGGTCTTTTCAGCTTATGGGGAGTTGTGAAGTCTGAGTTCTCTCAGCTTTCTTCCCTGGCAGTCCCACTTCTTCTTCATGCACTTTCGCTTCCCCATGGAGCGGACATTTTCTGGACAATCATAAACAGCAATTTCAACAGCAAAGATTGGAAGATGAGATTTGAAGCAGGTAGGCCTGAGAAATGTGCACTAGTTGCTCTTTGTTGCTTCACTGAAGAGGTAGAGATTTCTCTGCTGTAACTGAGGAGACCTATAAGAGATGATTATCTTTTTGCTTCTTTGGGGAGTTTTGGAGATAGTCTGATGTGAAACTATGGCACAACAATACAGTAAAATAGAGGAGAACATGAGATATTTTGGGTAATAAAAATTACAGCACTTGCCAGCTATTTTTTCTTCTACTTTTTCAGATGTGCATATTTCTAGGGGAGGTATATTAATCAGGACATAAAGAAGCCATTGTCTAAATTAATATGCATATTTTCTTTGTCTGGGGGTATGGCTGCTACAGTGGAGAAAGTGGCTGTGTTGTGCAGATTTTTGGATATTCACTCTGTTACAAAAAACCACCTGCTGAAGTACTCTTTGGCTCATGCATTCTGCTGTTTCCTGACTGCTGTGGAAGATGTCAACCCAGCAGTAGCTACAAGAGCTGGGCTATTACTTGACACCATAAAGAGGCCAGCTTTACAGGTAGGTTCATTATGTGGGAAAAAATGCATTCAAACAGAAATCTGAGTTTTCACACGAAGTTCAAAGTGGTTCAGGCATACAGCATCATGGTCACTGCTAGTACCTCTTTAGACAAGCCTAATGGGTCTGGGGAATTGACATATGCACAAAATAGCCAAGGGAGATGATACTGCCCTAGCCCCAACTCAGAATCATAGAATCATTTAGGTTGGAAAAGACCTTTAAGATCATTGAGTCCAACCACAAAAACTTTGACTGCAAAGGATTACTATTGCATTTGAATTGCTGTCATAGAAAGCTGTAAATGTTTTTTATTATTTTAAAATTTATTGACATTTTTAATAAGTTTATAAGTCTTATGACACCCTGCTGAGCTGACAGAGAGAAAATGTATTCAAGAAAAGCCAAACATGGTCTTGATCTTTTCAAGATTTACTTTGGCATGCAATTTCAAGCATGTGAGAGACCCTGCCAATCAGAATTCTCATGATTAAAACTAAGCAGATATGAAAGTGGATCAGAGCTTATGTATACAAGCAAGATTAAAAAAAAAAAATCTCATAGTACACAATTCAGTTATAGTTCTCTGGAGAGCAGAATGAATATGTACTTAAAAAATTTGGTGTTACTGCCTATAAAAAGCTGGTAGTACTTGCTAGTTTTATTCCATATAGTGCCTTTTCAAAATACTTTCCAGAGAACTTGAATTCACTGAATTCACTGAGATGTTATCAGCATACTGCACTTTCATGTTTAATCTGTGGATTTTCTTCTCAAACAAGTCTTGACACTAATCCAAGATTCTAGTGCAAATAAAATACAGAAGCATTTTGAAGCAAACTGCTTCTGATACACTTCACCACATAATCTTTCTTCATCTGTTTGGGCTTGGTGATTTTATTGTTTTTGTAGTTAAGGGCTTGATCCAGTTGCCTAAAAATAAGCTTGTTCTCAGGCAGGAATGTGTGAAAAGAGTACTTTGGTATTGGGTACCAAATGTGTGGTAGGACAGAACTTTGCCTCTACCTTTGTGTTCCTCAAAATCTTCACAAATTCTGCATTCTAAATATGATTTTCATTTATATCCTTACTTACCTTACTTTTACCTTTATCCTGTATGTATCAACAGGAGAAGTTTTGAGCTTTGACCTCCTTTTGCTTTAAAAAATGCTTCAAGTTTTCACATCTCAGTTCTGTTGTGTGTTTTTTTCTTTTTTTTCTTCTTTTTTTTTTTCTCCTCTATAGGGTCTCTGCCTCTGCCTTGATTTCCAGTTTGACACAGTTGTCAAGGACAGGCCCACAATTCTTAGTAAGCTTTTGCTACTTCATTTTCTAAAAGCAGATATTCCAGCTTTGAGCTGGGAGTTCTTTGTGAATCGCTTTGAGACCCTGTCTCTGGAAGCACAGCTTCATCTGGACTGCAACAAAGAGTTCCCTTTCCCAACAAGTAAGCAGAGTCCAAGTCAATCTGATTATCTTTTATTAGCTTCTGGAATTTCAGCTGCCTGCAAGGTTCTGAGGGAAATGTAGGTCTCACCTGTATAAATTCTCTGAAATTAAGTAATCTTTCAGGCCAAAGGAGAATAATTCGAAGTGAGCATTTTTTGACTGCTCACATATGAATTAGGCTATATTCTGTCACTCCTTTGGGTGTCATGTTTTACTCTTACTAGGATGTGAATGCCAGTCTTGGTTGAAATGCAGCCTGGTTCTACGATCAGCTGCAACCTGCATTAACCCACTTGTTCTTTTGTAGATGTTCTTACGCTATCAACATTGCTATTCCCAAAGGCCCAGGTCATGCCTGACCCTGTTCTGAGTGGTCTGTACAAAGACAGCCCTAGGAGCTGTGTAGACCTCAAAAAACAAACTAATGTACGAGGCACAGTACGAGAGGTACACAGACTGTTAGAGCTGGTGCTCAGTTAACTATTCCTGCAGTGACAAATGTTTGTAAATGTTTGTCTTGTTCGTACGCAGTTTCTTGATGGGATACCATGTCCATACCTTCCATTCACCGGGGCGGGGGGAGCTAAAAAATAATTTGTGCATGATTGTTTAACATGCTGACTAATTGAAAACTTCCTTACCCAAGTGGTGGTCCATGAGGCAGGTCTATTTGCATCTGATTTGCTTAGAGGAGGTGGAGACAGCTGTTTGGACAGCATGTGCTCCCTCAGCAGTCTAATGCAGCCTCCTACACTTGTGTGGAGCCCAGTACCTAAAGAAGCCCAGGTGCTGCTGCTGCATCCATACTGGAGATGGGTGGAACTGCAAACTTTTTTTCTTCTCCATATGTTAGTAGGTTGACCCAAAACTGGGAACTGCTGCTGTGGCCCGAGGAGGGAATCTCTGCACTAGTTTTTAGTGCCTCTGGCTGCAAATATAGGGTCATATCTTCAAATGTGAATATTTGAATGATTTACAACTTAAAATATGCAAAAGATATTTTTCAAGTTTCTTTTTAACCTTTCTGTTTGCCTTTTCAAAGATGTAAGCGGTGCAAGGGATGGGCTCGCTGGCTTTAGCTGCTCAGATAATTAAACTCAAAAGGTTTGAATGCGCTTATAGACATGAGTATAGAAAAGTGTTGGTGACCCCATTAAGACATGCAGTGATAGTTGCGATAACGCCACTGTAAATACATAATCACACTCACAGATTTTTGGAGGCGCTGTTCAAATCCGGGATGATAGGTGTAGGCAGGACAGGAGGTCAGTGAGGCAAAGCTAGAGGCTACAATTGGGTATGAGTGCACTAAACGTGATTCATACTCCTGAGAATTCTGCCATTTTAAATAGAGGGCACCTCATATTCCCATAGCCTGAAATTCAGGTTTTGGCTTCAAGATCCTGTATTTGTCCAGTCTTTAAAGAAAGAAGTAACAGCATAATTTTTTTAAACATGGTTATGCCATTTGGGGTTTTATGGATTTCAGAATGAGAGCATGCAAATGAGTACCTTGCAGATGGACCCCTTGAGCCCATATGAAGCTTTCTTGACTTGAGTGGGACCTGGGGCCCAGTTGCATTTGGCACTTGGCAGCACTAGGGCCTCACCATGCTGTGGAATGAATCCTAACTTGGTCAATTGCATTTGCAAAGCTATCACTGCTGTCCGGACAAATGTCGCCAACCTCAGTGATGCAGCAATGTGGAAGATCAAGAGGGCTCGTTTCGCACGTAATCGTCAGAAGAGTGTGCGTTCCCTGAGGGACAGTGTGAAGGGACCAGTGGAGTCAAAGAGAGCGCTCTCCCTTCCAGAAACCTTAACCACCAAAATTCGTTGAGTATCTATTTATATTTTTGTGACACACCTGTATATTCTCCCTTACGATTGTATCCTGTTGCTGGGTACACATCGGAATTGTCAATATTTATCCAATTGGGATAGCAAATTTAGGTTTCTGACTGATTTGGGCATTATTCAGGTAATGACAAGTTAGTGAGTTTAACAAAAAACATAGACAAATATTATGTCTTTGCTATGTTTGTTTAAAATGCTAGAACAAAATGCTCCAAGACTAATTTGTGGACAGATCTCAGTTTTTCTTTGTGGCTAATACACACTAGTTTTGTCTAAAATAGATACAGTGTTTATGAAAAATTCTTATGTTACTAATTTATTTATTAATTGTAATTATTAACCAGTGTATGCAGCATATGATAGACATCTTAAAAACAACTGTTAATGTCTCAAGTGAGCTTTTGGATATCTTCAGTGTTCCTTTGTTAAGAAAACAGTGTCAAAGCAACACATCCTTCTTGCCAGCTTGTATAGGAGGACCTAGGTGCTGGAAAAACATAGGCCTGTATGGAGTGCTGTGTAGATACCTTTCCAAGCAGAAATAAGGCTTATGCATTCTCATTTAGAGAATTTTACAAACACAGAATAGTCTTTATATTCGAATTGGACTTCTTGCATTGCTCCTACCCATATAATAGGAACTAATAAAATGTACAAAACTGGGTGCTGGTGAACTGTTAAGTTAAAAGGTAATTTCTTTTCTCCAGAACAAACACCACCGTATTTTGGTACTCTTAGGTAATCCTTCTTGATTTCTGATCCTGCATAAGGGCTCCTGTGTGGTGACTCTTGTACCAGCAAAACCGAACGATGGAGTAAACTAGAGTTATAGAACATGGTGCATGGAAGTGACATGTTTCAAATGGTTGCACTCACTGCCTGACAACAGTGCATGAGTAAATGAAGATAAATATGCTAGCACTGAATATATGCTGAAGTATGAGGTGTCAGTACTGCCCTTTTAAACAGAGTTGCTCTTTGTTTTGTTTTGTTTTGTTTTATTTTTAAGCTGTGAGCTTGACCAGACATGAGCAGTCTGCTCCAGCCCTTGGAGGAACACCAGAGCAAACACCAGGTGGGTTTGACAAGGAAAGGTGTTTTGATGGAACAGGAAAAGGAAGGCACTAGCGCTGGAGTTCTTGCTGACTCATGAGATGAACTTACACAAGATGGAAATTGTCTAAAAGGCACAGTGCATCACGTCTCGGCATGGTTCCAAAAGGTGTAAATTGAAACTTTGCTTTCAGTCTGTACTGCAAACTGCCGCCAGTTGTGCATATTACTTCAGGGCTGGGAGGAGGTTATTCACAGGCAGTCAGCTATGCTGGCAGTGCCTTGCCCTCCTGTGTTTCATTGCCCACAGGAACGAGTAAACCATTAGTAGGCTGTCCCTATGGGTCACCTATGTTCAGCCTGATCTTTGACCTTTACATTTTAGAGACAGAAGACAGAATGCTATTGATTGTTGGTGCTGTAAATTACACTTGTCTCCTCTGTGTGCTTATAGACATCTTAAGTCCCTTATTTTATGTTTACTAACGTTTTTGTGAAGATGTTGCCCTTCAGTCAGGCATTTGTAGAATAGCTAGCTCAGCAGTGTCCAAGTACTCTCTAAATAATTGTGGCTACTGACAGTTCTTGCTCTGAGTCCTGTGTAGACTGACTGTTTGGAAGTGAAAAATCTCAGATTCAGATTTTTTCACATTCCTTCTTCAAGAGTTGCAATATTTCCAACAGACATAAATTCAGAATCAGAACAGATCAGCTTACTGGGTGATCTGCTGAAAGGGAAATACCTTGCCAGCGTGGGCACTGACTGAGCTGTGAAATGGACTAGGAAAGCTTCTGAATTAGTTGTGTATAGCCCCTGTCATACTACCCCAGTAAGAGCTGGAAATCAACCAGTTCCTTACAGACCATATGTGCAGGTTGTCACAGTCTCAGAGAAGGAACAAGTGAAGTAGTGGTGCGATGAACAGATGTGTCAGTGAATGATTGTTCTTCATTTAATGGCACCACCCACCTGCTATACACTGGGCTTAGAGAAATTTGCCACATAAGTAGTGTGAATCTCACTGTAGACATTGTTAGCCATTGTGATTTTATTAGATGTATTTTGATATTTCAAAGCTTCAGTTTCTAAGCTCAGGTAATTAATCACCTAAGCTTCAAATTAAGTTTCCACTAAAAATGTGTACATTAAAAGGTGCATGTAGCTAGTAACCACTGCTATGAAGAAAAGTCTGATAATACAATTCAAAAATTATCACAGATGCTTTGGAAACTATGAAACAAGTGACTGTCCTTCTCCTCCTGCCCAGTGTTTATTATTTCTTTCTAAAATCTTAATTTTTTTGTAAAATTTTTTGTTAAGGTTTGACTAATAGTTTTTAATACTTTACATTGGCAGTACAGAGCATATCTGATTCATCTACGGAGCTAACTCCCAAACATAGGCTATACATCTGTTGTAGAAAAATGTCTGTTTTATACATACCACTCAATTATAATATTAAAATAATTTTTTAGTATTTTCTATAAATATATAGCTATGAATTTACATAAAGCCTGAGGCATGTAAGTAACTCTAACAGTTAAGATAGAGTCTAAGTGGATAGAAGTTGCTGGCTAGTAACCCTAACAGACATGCAGGAGCAATTTTAAGATTATGCTTTGAGCTAGTCTTTCTTGTAGGGGCTGTCCTGTAAACTTCAACTTAAACTGTTCTTGCAAATGTAAGGACTATATCCAATAGTTGAAAGGATTTATCCTTGAAATGAAAATAAGATTGTTTTATAATTCTGCTTTATACCAGCTTGCTTTATCTCAGTTATTTGCTGTTAGACAGATTTTTAACCATGGATCAGAAAATAAATCAGAATGCATTTTAGTAACAATTAATTTTAATTGTTAACAGGTAGAGTGTTTAAAGAACAAACCAAAACTAATGGTGTAATAAAAACTTAATTTTCAAGTATCACCCTGTTTTGATGCTGTCAAAATGATATTTTCTGTTCCCTTTGTTGGTTATCCTAGTGGAAATAATTTTTGTTTTACATATAATGCATATATAATGCATTTTATTTATACAGAAGCATTTAATTTAAATTACTGTTTTAAAATAGAACATGTTGGAATAATATACTGTGCTTTAGCTATGCATTTATTCAGGATTATTTAACAAAAAGAATCTGGTATACTGATGTGCACTGAAAAAAGGCCTTACACATAGGTGAAATGGGACGAAATTCTTACTGATAGAGCAGTTGGCTATGCTAGACTGAAAAACATTTCATACTTGCAGAGTATTCTTATTTGCAATGAAGCATCGACATCACTTTCATACTTTTTCCTTATCACAAACTCGAAAGGCAATTACTAGAGAATTCTAGTAATGATAAGTGGTCTTAGAAGTAACTGGAAATACTGTATTTAAGTAAATATTTAATTATGAAAGTGAAAATACTTGCTCAGTTGGCAACTGTTATTTTGCAGTGTGTCTGTTTTGCTTGGGTAGTGATAGGCAGCACCAAAGCTTCCTTGTGCTTTGTAAGTAGCCTCTCATCTTTCACATGATCATAGTCCCACATAAAGTATTACTGATTGATTATTTCCATTCAGTATTTATAAACTAAGTCTTAGACTACTTCTCTGGGAAAAAGTCATCAAAGTTTTGACATAACACTTAGCGTCCCAAAACCTAACACATTATAGTGCCTACATTTTGGCCCAAGTTATTTGAGAGAAATGCAGACTCAATGCTAAAAGGGGAAGTCTTCATTCTTTGTTTAATCATTATTGGTAGAATTTTCTCCATCTCCTCCCTTTGCTGTTTTGTGCATCCTCCACTGGTGAAGAGTGTCCACTAATGTTTGCTGAGGAAAGACTGAAAACTATGCCAGATGAGCATTTGGTGGCAGTGGGATTTGATTCTCCTCTAATGCATAGATGTGAAGGAGTAATAACCCTCGATTGGCAGAAATGCACTGGGATGGGAAGATAAGCAGCTTCATTACACATGGGAAAGCTGAGAAATGGAGTTCACTAGGTGTTACTGTGCTGTTGAGCCTGAGGCAACAGAGGAACAATGCCCTCAGAAATGCATTCCTATCTCCTGTGACTTCACCATGTGTATTTGGACAGAAATGGGGCAGTGAACTCTGGAAAAAATGTCTGGTGTATTCTGTACCCTATTTACAGTCTTACCTAGTCTCTGATACCAATGTCTCTCTTGTGCTGGTAGGACAACCCTCCCCAGAGAATGATAATACAATAAAAGACCTGCTGCCAGAGGATGCTGGGATTGATCACCAGACTGTCCACCAGCTCATTACTGTGCTAATGAAGTTCATGGCAAAGGATGAGAGCAGTGCCGAGTCGGACATCAGCAGCGCTAAAGCTTTCAACACAGTCAAGCGCCATCTGTACGTCCTGCTTGGTTATGATAAAAAAAAAGAAGGATGCTTCATGATTGCACCACAAAAAATGCGTGTTTCGACCTGCTTTAATGCCTTTATTGCTGGAATTGCACAAGTAGGTGGAGGCACTTACCACTTTTTGCAGCTATTTCTCATTGCCTGTTGTTGAGATGGTGGTAGCACAACCTTCTTTGTATCAAAATAATGGCTGAGTGTGGCAATTCTACTTAAAACTTAACACATCTTCTGTTGGTGAAAGAATTTGAGAACAAGGATGGCTGCTTATTTTTTATTCTCAGAAAGCTCCGTGCAACCTAGTCACGTGCTTTCTGTAGGTTTTTGCTTTGCAGTTAAAAAGTAAATAGTTAAATAGAAGTATGCTGATTTTTGACTTCCTACTAGTACTCTAAACTTGCTGCATCATTGGCATAGAGACAACAATTTTGTTGTGTGTGTGTAGGCATGCAAATACTACCACTGTATGAAAAATTAAGACTGCTCCAAACCTTTTTGCCCTCTTTCACTAGCTTTTGAATGCCTTACTGTCCTCACGTGTCATTTCGTTCTTTCCCATTCAGGAAGACCTGGGACCCATGTGCTCTTGCTTTTTTCCCTGTGTGAATGGTCTGTAAGCTCTTCGACATTCTTCACTTTTCAGGAAGACTCATTCTCCTTCTTCCTTAGAGTGCACCAGGACTTTCTGTTCTGCCTTTCCTAGGGAATGATGCCACCATGATGAACCTCTGCCTGTATTGCTATGATAAATGACTGAGCCCATCCTTGCCTTGTGCTTTCTTTCTCCATCTTGTAAGGAGGACTGTAATTCCTCACCTCACAATGCTCTTCTAAGGCTCAGTTAATTCTTACTGGTAGAGCAGTTGGTGATGCTAGGCTGAAAACCATGTCATACTTGCAGAGTATTCTTATTTGCAATGAAGCATCGACATCACTTTCACACTTTTTCCTTATCACAGTCTCTCATAAAGGATTACCTTAGGGGAGAGAGAGGCCTGTGATTTCAGATCTCCCCCTGCCCCAGCTCTTAAAATACCCACTGTAACAGTCAAACATTGCTCAAAGTTATCCCAGCCTCTTCTGTATCTGCAATACATATCAGGATTTTCTGGTTCATACATTGGAATCGGTGATTTTTTCAAAGTCAATTGTGATGTGGATATTTGGATAAACTTTCACAGTTACGGAGAAGTCAGCTATCCTTGTTTAAGCAGGCAAAATAGAAGGTGTTAATGCAGACTGGGTAGCTGCAAATGAATCCTGATCCATTGTCTTGGAGCACCATTGCTGTGTGGTGTTAAGCATCTTTCTTTTGTACAGTTTTAAGCTGAAGCATGTAAAAGGAGATTCAGGCCTGTTACCATTGTGTTGGGAGTTTGGAAGTGGCAGTTTAGATCACAGGGCAGTATCTTTCACATTTTTCTACATGTTTTCAAAGTTTGGATTCCTGAACTTCAGTAATCATAATTGACCTGATTTTCAGAAGTACTGCTTACTGCAGCTCTAAATAACAGCCCCTGCCTTTCCTCTTCAGCCTTTAAAATGTCTCATGGTAGCTGAATTCACCACTTCTGTTTGAAACACTCCGTAGTTGAATCCTGGCTCCCCTGACATCAAATGGAGTTTGGGAACTTTAGTAGGCTAGGATTCTTCTCCATGCAGCAGACATCAAAACTTTAATTTATGTTTTGGGTTTTTTTTGTGTGTGCATGGTGTGGTGTTTTTTTGGTTGTGTTTTTTTTTTTTTCCTTCCCTTAACTGTAGGGCTACTTTGTGTTGAGAATCAGCTTTGCTGCGAGAGAAATGCTGTTTGCCATCCAAAGATGCGTTTACAGAGTGAAAACTCAGCGTGGAGCTCTTAAGAGATCTATTTCAGTTACAGTCCCTTCCCTAGTCATAAATACCTGCTTTCCTCAATCAGCTCCAGAAAGGTTGGGATTGGGCTGAGTTGCTGGTTTGTTAATTTTTGATTCCAAGCTTGGGTAGAATGGTCAGTTCAAGGAAAAAAAGATGAAATGAAATGACTTAGTATTTTGCGTCATAAAATCTGAGCATTTTGAATTTTTGAAAACATAAAATGCCTTTTTCTCTCCCTGGCAGCAGAAGTGCCCGTTTCGGTGTTTGCAGTCACTGCGGTATTGCCCCGCGTGGTGGCAATGTTGTACAAGCCCGTCGGAGCGGGGAGGCTAGCAGTGCCGGGCTCTGCTCGGCGCCACGGGCTGAGCTCTGCTCAGCATTTGCAACATCATTTATTCCAGATCTTCCTGTGACAACTTAAGAAGTGGATCTGCTCAGCTTCAGGCATTTCTGTATTACAGTATGTGCTGTGTTAAGGCAGGGCTTTGTCTTCCTTGTATGGATGAATTTTTGCTAACTGTGCTATGTAACTGCATCACACTCTGAGGGGACAAGGCATTGAAGGGTAGGACCACATTTGGTGATTACGTATCATCTGTTTGACAGGCTAACCCTACATGGATAGACGTGGGATTCATCTGTTTAGCTGTATGCATGCAGCACAAAAATGTGAGACAGCTGCACATTGAACTAGAGGATTTTACAGATCAGCTTGTTCAGGAGGAAACTTGAGACATGAGTTCTGTGTTTGTAAATAAGGCTTATCCCCGTGTTCTCATAAAAACAAAACCAAAAAAAGAAACAGACCTGAAGGAAATGGATGATGTGGATAAAACTGATGTTTGTGTCTGTTTAGATTAGGGCTCCTGATAAAGTGCACTGAAACTGGAGGGACCTGTTAGATCTTGGTGGTTGTGCTGGAGTTTGCTTGACCTGCTGTTACACCTTCCTGGGTGTCAACCAGTATAGGTCAGTGTCAGAGACAAGGGCTTTGTGGATCCTTGTTATGATCTAGTTTTAGCTGCTGATTTCAACTTGCCAATGTATGTTAAAATTTAGACCGTGCAGGATGAAAGGCTTTCAGAACACATCTTCTTTTGTTTCATTTTACCTCTCTGGCTAAAAGGAGAATGTGGCAGGCTGGCAGAAAACTTCTAACTGATAGTGAGACTCCTTAAAAACATCTGTTTCTTTTTGCTTAATTAATACCTTAACTGCATTAGTTAATTTTCCACAACAATGGATTTGATTTTGGTGAGCTAACTCCTGTACTAATATTCTTTTCAGGTGATGGACTATAACATCAACCTGGGAAAACACCTTCTTCCCTTGGTGGTGCAAGTGTTGAAATACTGCACTTGTCCTCAGCTGAGGCATTACTTTCAGCAGCCTCCTCGCTGCTCCCTCTGGTCCCTCAAACCTCACATTCGGCAGATGTGGTTAAAGGCTTTGCTTGTCATTCTCTATAAGGTGAGTGGTCTTAAAAAGATGCTGTCCACGTGAAAATTTATACTTCAATTTGAAATTTATTACAGGGAACCCCTAACTGTACTGCAAGTGAAAGGAACTCTAAAGATCACTTTTCTTTGATTTGCTTACTCACTGCATTTAATTGCAATGTCTGAAGTACTTAGGCTTTCATCTGTGCTACTGACCTTTTAATTCTAATTAATTTAATTTAATTTAAATTTTAATTTTACCTATATTGTCTTTCACATGGTTACCTGAGAAAGAAAAATGCGGATTTGAAAATAGGAAAATGCTATATAAAGTTCCAATGAAAAGTATTTTGAGCAACTTTGAATTAGTTTTAAAAAAATATTAGTAACTTTAAATGGGGGGCGGTGGTGTCAGCTTAACAGCTTGTGTTCTTTAGTGGTGTGATACTTGTTAGGAAGTGTTGCTAAAATGTAATGTGTTTATGCACTAAAATGGAGCTGTGAATACTTCTGATATGCTTAATTTCTAGCAGGTCTATAGGGCATACAAGGAAGTGGAGGTACTAGAAATGAATGATAACGTGCTGATTGAAATAGAATATTTGGAGAACAGTTGTGATGAGAGACCTTTTGCATTATTAATAATAATTGGTTGCATCATAAAAGTCAATAAAACAATGTACTAAGTGTTGCTAATAGGGATTTTTTTCTTTTTTAAATGATTTTTTTGTACAAAGCTGAAAACAGTCCTGCTTCTCATGGTGTATTTAGAAACGTATGATCAAAGGAAGGCAAAGGGCATCTAGATGACAATATTCTTGTCATTTTTCTATTTTACTGCCTAAATGTTTATCCAAGGAGAAAAGCTAGTTTATAAGCTGAAGTTTTTCTCTTTCACTGAACAGTACCCCTACAGAGACTGTGAAATCAGCAAGATTGTACTTCACCTAATCCACATCACAGTCAATACCCTCAATGCTCAGTATCACAGCTGCAAGCCGCATGCAACTGCTGGTCCTTTGTATAGTGACAACAGTAACATAAGCCGATACAGTGAAAAGGAAAAAGGTACTTCTAACACTCTCTTTTGTGTGATAGTCATTGATTTAATTCATTGTCTTGCAGATGTTGTAGAAACAGGTAAACATGGTCTGAATTTTAGAACATAATACTCAGAATTAAGTCCAAGGTGTAACTTATCTGACCAGCTATAGCCATCTATAGTAAAAGAAATTCACAGTTTCTTTGTAGGCTAAGCATGGCACAGCAGTCTAACATCTCTCGGAGGGAGTGTACCTTAGAATTAGTAGTTCAGTCATCGTGCCTGGTTAGTCCTTGGCCTTTTCTATGACAATATTAACTGATCATGCCCACACACAAGGTGTGCAACCAGCCTGACACTGCATTCTGATTGTACTTTATAATAACACATTATAGTAGCAAATACTTGAGGTTGAAAAGAGAAAATGACGAATTCAGTCTATAGTTTGCTTTTCTCTGTAAAAGGAGGTGAAGTTGACTAGCTTACATGCAGACATATATAATGTGGATGTCTAAAGGCAGAAGAGAATGGTTCAACCTTTATAGTCTGTGTCCAATCGTTAGCTCTGTATGTGCTTGCTAGCTGTAGCAGAGGTACTGTGATGGTGTGAACTGGTGTAAGGTCGGGGCATGAAATCAGATTGTGTCACTGAGTGTAGTTCCTTACTGTTGCGAAGTTTATTAAATGATAAGTATTTATGATCAAAGTTTAACAGGTTCTTTTGATGTTAAGCTGAGGCTGCTTTTCAGTTATTTTGCCTTTTAGCTGCTTATTTGCTATTTGCATCATCCTTCTCAAACAGTCTTCCTAGTGTGCAGCAAACTCTTCTTCTGAAGAAGAATACAAGAAGTACTCTGTATGCGTGTCAGTAACTTTTCCTCTTTGGCTGCTTGTTGCTCATGAGAAGATATCTGGCAGAACAAGGACACAAAATTTTGTTTACCTGAACACCCTATTATTCAGCTATAGCAAATTAAAAGAACCTTAAAATGGATGTAAATGATGTATTGCATATTCTCACTCACTTGGACTTAGCCCTTAGAGGAGGGCTAAGAGGGCTCAGATAACTGTGGACTTACTATGAATTTGTCTTTGTTTTGAGCTGAGTTAATGACTTAATTTATAATGGCTTAGTAACACTGAGGGTAGTAATAATACATTTCTAAAATGCACTCGGTTTCTGGATTGATTCTGAGATGTTTCTAAGACAAAATGAGGTGCCTAAGTACCCAGCTTCCTGTTCACAGTAAGCGCCAAGTTCGGTTTAGAAAACTTGGTGTTCCAATCCCATGTCCAACATTGATTCCCTGGGTGGCCTTCCCTTCTCCCTTCATCATTGTTTCCCTATGTTTAAAATCAGAAAAATATTTACTTGCTTCCAAAGCTGTTCTGAAGTGCTTTGGGCTGCTCAGAAGTAAAGGACCATGAATGGGCAAATTTTACTCAGTAAATGCTGACTTAAATGTAGGACTGATTCTCCTCCTGTGCTGAAGTGCTGCAGAAAAAAGAGGGTGTAGAAAAGTTTTCTTCCACCTGCAAGAAGCAGCCAGTATAATTCCATAGGGGCTTGGAAAGTTGAAGCCTTTCTCGCCTTATCTAAGGAAGGTTGTTTAGTTTCTGGTCAGGTAGTGTGTGTGCTGCTATCATCATCGAAGGTGGTGTTTAGGTGATCAACAGATGAGGATTTCATTGTCAGGCAGAAAGAATCCCTATGCTAAAGATGGATTTTTCCACTATTGAACCTTTTTCCTAATTTTTCTGGCAAACTTTGTCATGGGGATCATGGCAAGTGTACAGACTGTTGTAGAGCTGATGAGAAATCTTGTGAGACGAAGCATTTGTTGCCAAGGGGAAGAAGTTAGACACATAAGGCATGACGTTAAGTGGTCTCCCACCTTACTAAACCCAGTCCCTGTAGAAATTCTTACTATCAGCTTTGATGGATTGATTTTTCTGGATTCATCGTATCAGTTGGGTATCTTATCCCTGATCCATTTAGGTGGCAGTTGCATAGCTTCACATGTAGTAGAAACTTCCCAGCAATTTCAAAGCTCAGTATATCAACATCCAGTTTAAGTCTTCAGTTTTTGGCCATTCTAACTCTTTGGCTTACTTGCCTCTTCGCTCCTAGACACCAAATGCATTTCATCTCCACCTCTCTGTGTTTGCTTACTAGAATAAACAAGGCAAACTTTTTTATTTCTTGAGTGCTCTGTTTTCTTTATCGTCCCAGTAGTGTTTCTTACACCTTGGAGGTGAATCACTAGACACAATAGGTAGATTTTTTTCCTTTTTTTTTTTAATTTCTTTTTAAGTAGCCATTTAATACAGGTGATGTGGTTATTTTTTGATGGATAAAACAATTTGGATCTTTCTTTCTCTCTGCCATTTTCAACCAGCAGGTCTCAAATTAGAGCATAATGTTTTGCTATTACTACTTAGATCAATAATTTCATAATTCATACTCAGGTCTTATTCTATTACTATTACCGGCAGGGGAGTTGGACTAGATGATCTGTCAAGGTCCCTTCCAACCCCTAACATTCTGTGATTCTGTGATTACCAGCTTCCCAAGATTATACATTTCTTCCTTTTTCACTTTCCTGTTTTGCTGGTTTATTACTGACCTTGCAGTTCTTGTACTAATTTCAGTCTTTTTCAGTTTACCATTTATCACTGAGCACTATAGAATTTATTTACTCAAGTCAGTGTTCTGATCTATTCTGTTTTTTCCATCTAAAGAATCTGTATTATTATCAGTAGAAAATATCAGCTTAGAATGGTAAAAGCTTTGGTATACTTCTGTTGCATTGTAACACATTTTTCATTTATCTCTGTCCTTTCTGACCTTAATTCAAGATGTAACATGAATGACAAAGTAATACCTGGGATATAAATTTTCTTGCAAACTTCACATGATTCTTTGTTTTCCAATTCAAGTTTAATTGAAACTAGCTGAGGTTTTGTTGCATAGCTTTTCATTGAAGGAATTGCACTCTCTTAAGAGTAATAAAGATTTTTCTTTCTCCAGCAGAAGAAGACAGTGTTTTTGATGAATCTGATATTCATGATACACCAACTGGACCTTGCAATAAAGAATCTCAGACTTTCTTTGCAAGACTGAAAAGAATTGGTGGCAGCAAAATGGTGAAATATCAACCAGTTGAGATGAATGCTCAGAGAAGTATGAATTTTATTGGTACAAACTCATGCAGAAACACAATTTCCTACTCTTAGTTTCAGGCTACCACCTTTCTTTGTAGAATTTGTTATCCTGTCTTATTTCAGTACAAGTACTCTGTCTAACTTTTGAGAGCAGGTAGTCCTCATTTCCCTGAATGAATTCTCTTACAGGAATCTCAAAGTAGGCACTCCAAAGTAAAATATCTAAAATCAGCAGATGTTTTCTGAAACGTTTAAGTTCTTTTAAATGTAAAAATGTTTAAGAGGATTTGTTGCAATTTTCTTCCACCATTGGGCTGAAGATTCTTACTGAAATTTATTTTTTCCCAGAAATGGATTTTTTTTTTTTTTTTGAACGAGGTGGGACTCTAGGGTAAGCAAATTTGTTGTTGCTGCTGCAAATATTACCGTTTTCCATTGGTAAAAAGGGTTACTTGGTGGTTTCAAAAAATAGGAAGGATTTTGTTTTCAAATTTAGGTTTCTGAAATGAATACCCCAAAAAAATGGAAGATATTTCCACCACCACCCACTTGCCTTTTTTTCTTTCAGGTTGCATGGGGGGTGAATGATGCTGACTAGAGCAAATATCTGCTTTAACTTTTTTTGCATGGTGATTCCATATGTGGAGCATTTTGAAATATGGGAATGATAATGGTCAGGAATATTCTGTTTTATGTGAAAATATGTCATTCATAATAACAACGGTGATAACATTTTAAAATGTTCTCAATGAATGTGTTCACGTAGCAAAATACCAATGCAGCGGTAGTACCAACAAGTGTAACTGTGCTCACTTTACTCCTCCCTAGGATGGGGAGGTATGACTATGTGGTGTGATAGTTGCTAGATTCTGCTGGGGTCTAGGATCACTGGGGCAAAAATTCCCTGGACACCTGTCATATCTCAGGCTTGTGCTGCCACATCCTCACTGCGATTGTTACCCTTGCTTCTTGAATTAGAAGCATCCATTTTAAGCCCTCTTTGCTGCAGTAAATAACACATAGGTGTACCCTAATATTTGCTGATGTCCAATGATGTCCACAATGATGTAGACCAAAATTATTTTGAAACCTCTTTGGAGTGGTTTGTGTAGCTCATTTCTTCTTTCGTCTCTCATGCCTAATGCAGCCATCCCAAGCATCTGCAGAAATTACTTGTCTGTGCTATCTTCTTTTCAATGCATAAGGTTAAACAGTCTGTCTTTAGGGTACATCTCTTCCAGGGTGAGTAGAATTTGGGTAGAATTTAGATAATACCTTATTATCCAAGTAGTAGGATTTTCTTGTTGTTCTTTATTGTAACAATCTGTGTAACATGGCTCTGAGTTTAAAACGAAATCTAGACAATTTTGACTAATACTGGGTTTGTATTTGAAATGCCAATCCTGTTGAATTGTGAGTTAAAGATGAAGACATCTGCCAGAAGTCTCCAACTGAGGTAGTATTAGCTCTTTCTGTTTTAATCAGGTGAAATAGAGCTGGCTGAATATAGAGAGACGGGGGCCTTACAAGACAGTATTCTACGCTGTGTGAGAGAAGAAAGCATTCAGAAAAAAAAACTGCGCTCTCTAAAACAAAAATCTCTTGATATAGGGAATGCAGACTCCCTGTTGTTTTCATTAGATGAACATCGCAGGAAGTCCTGCATAGACCGGTGTGACTTAGAAAAACCGCCTGTCCCTGCTGCTTATGCCGTACACAGGCAGAGTGATCATGGGCGATCCCGGCAGAATTCTTCTACCAAAGCTGAAAATATAGAAACACAAGAAAATCTTCCTCGTACAGAGAGTTTCCAGGAAACAAGACGACCTGTCATACCAGAAGTTAGGCTAAACTGCATGGAAACCTATGAAGTGAAAGTGGACTCTCCAGTTAAACCTGCTGGTCCCAAGGAAGATTTAGATCTGATAGATTTGTCCTCTGACTCAACATCGGGTCCTGAAAAGCATTCAGTACTCTCCACTTCAGACAGTGACTCTTTAGTCTTTGAACCACTTCCTCCCCTTAGAATAGTGGAGAGTGATGAAGAAGAAGAAACAAACCAGCTGAACGATGAGGTCTCTGGCAAAACTGCTGCATCATCTCCCTCAACTCCTATCAATATCTCTGCACTCAGCCTCAGCACAACTCCGCTGGTCCAGTTCAGCATTGAAGATTGCTCCAAGGACTTTAGTTCTAAGGATGCAAGCAACAATGCTTCAGCA